AAAAGCCATGAGGTTTTCGGGCAAGAGGATTTCTGGGCGCTCTCTGCTGCCCTGTGGAGAACAATCACAAATCACTAGTCCTCTTCCAGGCCAGGTGATTCCCATTTTGAAAATACACGTTGAAATCCAGTCGATTTCTGCATTTTGCTCAGGGCACATAAATCCCTTGGTCTGTGCTTTGCCTCAGTGTCATGAGAGTTGAATTGTATTTGGGTCATGTGTGTGATTTCTGAGGTGAATGGGATCAGCTCTTTGCTCAGACCAGAGCATGCTCCAGGTTATTTTCTAGCTGCGAATAGAGTGTACTATTCATTGGAGGAGTACTGGGACTTGAAAAGAAATCCTTGTGTTTGGCGTCCACGATGAACATGTTCCAGCCTAATTCCATTACTGTGCTTACTGTTCCACTAGTCCACTAAAAGGAAGCACTATATCTGATCCCTTTAGGCATTTTCTAGTTATTTAAGGGTAAGGCATCTTTAAGTAGAAAAATGAGACAGATTTTCCACATGCTTTATTTCTGTTTTCTTTGTCTTCAGTACTGATGCAGGCCTGTAAATTTGAGGGAATTTGGGGCCTTTCCTAAGAAAGACTTGAGTGTTTTCAGGTGTAGAGGGCCTCAGTTCCGCTGGCATGTAGCAAATAAAGACCATCTTCAGAGAAATAGCTGGTTTACTCCTTTTTCCTCCACATGTCACGGATCTGCCTGCCTCTTTTCTGCTTCATTTGGTGATTCCCAAGAACTGAGAGGGAAGGAAAGACTCACTTTATTCTTGGCATTGCCTGAGAGCATTTGATCTACAGCCCGATGGATGTGGTCTGTGTTGCTGAACTGACAGGATATTATCTCATGCCAGCAGTGTTAGTGATGTCAGTAAGTCAAGCTTCAATTTGTCCCTAAGGGTATGGGGTTTGGGGAAATGTACATCTCTGTTCTGAGTGATGAAAAGAGGAGCTGTTCTTTAATGTGGGACAGCAGCAGAGAGTGCTGCCAAAGATCCTGGTGAATCCCCTTATGTGTGTGTGTCTCCTGAAGAAAGATTTGAGCTTTGTATCTCAATGCATTTCTCTTCTGGTCTGGATCTCTTGAGCAGAAAGTGGCTCCCAGATCTTCATCTGTTGATCCAGAGTTTCTCAAAGGCAGTATCATAGCTCCATCCCCGCCTTCTTGGTAGAACACCAAATCAGCCCTTCACAAGCAATTTCCATTGTTTTCCATTTAATCTCTTGGCTCATTCCTTTTGGAGCTTCTTCATGGGAAATCCTTTTATTCCCATGTCATGGTTATGCACTGTCTGCCTTTCTCCCACTTGTTGTTTTTCATAGCAGGTTCTCTGTTTTCAGTTGTTCCTCCCAGACATGTCAGGAATTAGCAGGGCTGTTTCCTCGCCATGCTTTCATGTAGATTCCATGCCCACAGAACAGGCAAATGTCTGGAACCTTCTGGAGGGCAGTTTGTTTTTAACCAAGGTATGGCTGATGCTTGGAAATCAGTCTTTGCTGTTTTGAACGTCCCAGATAGCTGTTGCACAAATTCCTGGCCCTGTGGACAAGATCCTAGGTTTATTAGGACTGCAGAAGAGCAGCTGTTTTCGGCCTAGCTGAAATAAATGCCTGCAGGGGCTTGGCAACCCTTCAGTGCAGGTGTAGGTCTGTGATGGTTTTCATGTTCTGTCAATGGATCATGCCCCTCAGTTGCTGGTGTTTGTCCCCTTTGCCCTGTCAGAGGTCAGGGTTCAGAGCTGGCTGATTTGAATTGGCAGTGAGTGGGCAGAGAGGAGGGAACGGTGAAGCTTCTCCTGTGGCTCAGGCATGCTCTTCCACTTCCATTGGATCTCTTCCTGTTGGCAAGGTCTCCTTGTGTTCCCTTTGGCGTGGAAACTTGGGTGCATTGCTCATGTTTTCTCACCTAATTTCAGCCTGGGGACCTCTCTGCCTTAGTTGGGAGGGAAGAGGGACAGGCAGATGAACAAAACCTAGTTCTGTATTCTGCTTGTTCTCTCCTGTCAGTTCTCTCCTCTCTTACACTCGTCTTCCTGTCTGCTGGCATTTGGACAACATGGGAAGAACATTTAAAGTGATTAATCTTGTCTTTATATGCAGAGTTAGAACATACTGATAGACTGCCTTAAGAATACAAGACTGACAGGAAGCTCACTGAAAATAGGTACAGTGATTCTCCCCACTGGGTGCTTTCAGACTCTGCCTTTTAGTTTTACTTGGCTTTACTTAGATGAGGAAAATAAAGAGCCCAGGGTACTGGGACCGTTTTAGGGTTCTTGCTGTAGAGGTTGGACTACAACAAGCCCATTAAAATACACTGGGACTTAGCAGAGACAGGTAAACAGATGTTCAGTCATCTCACAGCCCTCTAATCACGTCTGCTTGAAGTCCCGTGACCCATTTGCAGAGGTGTAGTAATGTTTCTATAGAGGAAGTGTTTTCAGAGGATGACCCACCCACGGGTGGTTTTGGTTGAGGACTGGAAAGTGACGGTAGTGCGCACGCTTCTCTGCATGTGTTTCAACATGGCTGCTGAGAGGAGGAGGGAGGGAGGCACTGTTAGAACATCTAAAGAAATGACAGTTACTTGTAGTCAATCCAGGTTTCCTGTGTAAGAACCAGGAAGGCTTAGTTTGAGTAAGCTGACAACAAAGGCTCAAATGGGGCTGGGCCACTTCTCTTGCAATGGTCATTTATTTCACAGTAGCTGAGGCTTGGCTAGTGGGGCTGTGCCTCGTCTCCCTGGAACTGGGATGACTGGCAGCCATTCTCTGTTATGCTTAAAGAACACTGTAGAGAACTTGTGCTGTTGGATGGAAGCCATATTTGGTCTGGATGAGGCATTTTTCCCGCTGCGGATGAAGGACGCTGAGTCAGAGGTACATGCTGAAAAGTGAAAACTCTTGACAGATTAAGCTTGGTCACACCTCTTTTTGATAAGAGATGTGGGTTGATACTTTAATATTAATTTGGTTTTAATTACATTTTCATTGCATTTAATTACAGCCAGGGGACACAGAGGTAAAAATGAATCCCTGCAGCACTAGTACTGGAGCTAGTGGGTGGAGGTGGGAGCTTTCTGTACAGCGGTCCTGCAGCTTCCTCATAAAGGACGATGGAGTGGGGTGTGCAGCAGTACTGTCAGAGCACCTCACCACTGGGGAAGAAACCTACAGTTGTATCAGAACAGGTGGCTTCTGCTTCCATGAGCAGGAAGCTGAGCCAGCGTCAGAACCCTGTTGTGGGCAGTGCATAGCCCTGGAAAGCTGGCTGGAATCCTGTAAGGTGCTGGACACGAGGTGATGTTATTAGGCTTGTGGTAGGGATGTGATCTGAGGGGAGTACTGCTTGGTTGTTTTTTAACTTAACCTTTCTTTCAATAACTAACTAAAACGAACACCCTCACCTCTTTTCAGCCATTCAGGCAGCAACAGTTCACTTCCGGCTGTTATTTTTTCAGACAAGACTTTATTGGGAGAAAACAAGACCCTGTTTGTAATGCAAGGTGTGTGAAGCTGATTCACTGTACAGCTGCAGTATTTCAGGAAGTATGAGTGTAAATTCCAGTTCGATGCAAGTAACTGTCTGCTGTGTCCTGATTCATACTGGTGGTGTACTCCCAGTGACTGACTTACACCGTGCTCCCTGCTCCTTTGGGTTTCAGACTGAGCGACCAGGCTTGTGTTGAAAAAGGTAAGTAAGTGTGGGGTTGTCTCACCCCCCCAACTTCTCTGAAGTACCGCTGTGTAGTGGAAGCACTTGGTCTTCAAGAGGAAAGCAAATGGGCCACATCAGTCTGTTGCCGAAGTTTTAAGTCCAAAACACTAGCAGTAATGCTGCAAGCCTATTGCTTCCTCACTCCGGTAAGGGTAGGTCTGTCTGGTGTTTTGGCCAAAGGATGTGACACAGGTTCTGTTGTATTCAGCATGTGCAAGCTGTACACTGTTGAGAAGAGTCTTACTTTAAGCCAGTTTAAATGATGCTTGCTAACTTTGAATTAGTTAAATGAGTTATTCAAGGCATGTATGGACTCTGTGGAGGTGGCCTGTGGAGTAGGCATCACTAGTGCCGTGGGAGGGGAGCTGCAGCTCATAGGTCAGTGCAAGGTTCTTGGCATTGGTATGTCAGATTATAAAGTGATCTGAAGAGCACACTCAGATTATTGTGTTTCAGTTACTTTCCATTTTATTTGAAATGAGCTTTGGTTTTTTTGGCTGCGTATTTGCAGCTGCTGCCTTTGAAATCACTGCTGCTAGCATTGCTTTTCCACAAGCCCTGTGAGCACTGGGGTAATGCTGCTGTTATGGGACTTGGGGCAGTCAAACTCCTTTGGGGAGATCATCAGGCAGGAAAAGCAACCCCTTGCCAGAGGCAGGCACTTGGCCCTTCGTGCCAGGGTCTGGTTTTGGACAGGGCTCAGGGCTCCCTGGACCCCCTGCCCTGGAGCTGTTGGGTTTCAGAAAGATGGGATGGTGCTTAGGCAGGGTTGGCTTGCATTTTGGGTTTTAACTGCAGGCTTCACAGGAGTTTTATCAATAACTAACTGTGTCACTGGATGTATCATTTTAAAGAACACGAAAGAAAATGTCAAAAAAACATCGTTCAGGGGTTCTGAAAATGAATTTCTGGTTACAGTTGCTGTATTTCCACAGGAGCAACAATCCCACTTCCATCTGAGACTTCAAGGGGAACACTTTGAGTGCAGTGCAAGGCTGCAGGAGAAAGAACAGTGGTCATGTATAGAAGTGATGATGTGAATGTGCGTTTTACCTCCACCACTGAACTCTCAAGTAGTTATAGAGAAGCCAAAGTCTTAGAATCTTTAATTTGATCAAATTAAACTCTACCTTCAGCTGAGTTGTGGAAACTTCCTATAACACTGAGCTGCAAACAGTGTTCTCTCAGAGGGAGGCCTATTAGAAAGCCTGAATTCATTTAAACCTCTCCAAGAAGCGTAACTACCATGTGCATTATGAAGCAGGTAAATTAGAAACTACTTTCAAATGGCTGTTGATTTTATTTGCTTGATAAATACAATCCTAACAAAATAAAAGTTAATCGATATTAAGAGATTTGTCTGAACATTAGAAAAACCCATGACAATTCAATAGGAATTAGTGTGAATTAAACCAAAAAGTTTAAATATTGCCAGCAAATATAAAATGTATGTAACGAAGGCAGGGGAGGATGCTTTAGTTTACATTTGTCACCCGACCACATTTTCTGTGTTTATAAACTTCTTTTTTTCCCCGAATTTTAAAAAAATACTATGCTGTTTTCTATAACATATCAAAGCATTATTTGTACAAAATCAAATCATGGCCAATGATTCACAACAGTGCAATAGAGAAAGAATACAACCCCATCCAACAGGTGCTGAAAATATCCAGGTTAGAAAATACGATCGCCTCTACGCACACTGGGGAGTTCGCTGTCTGCAGGTGGAGTCATGTGAGTGTATCTGGAACATGAATACATTGAAAGGCCCCTGAATGCCAGCATGGATGGACAGAAGCTGTTGAACTGCTGGGGGTTGTGTTTTAAATAACCACCAGAAGAGGCTGTTGCTGAACCCCTGGTGTCTCCCAGGGCACTGCCTGTACTTCAGGCTTATTTGGAACCTTTAGAATGGATGAAGAAAACACTCTTGGCTGGATGGCAGCAGTGTGAGCACAGCCTGTCATGAACAGGTATGAGGATGGTGGTTTACAGATGGGTTATCTACATGGCTAAGAGACACGAACAGCTCTTGATGAACGTTTCCATCATACAGGGACATAAATAACATCTCTCAAGTCTTTACATTTATTCAGTACATCTCAGAACAAAAATGAAGCTTAACGGCATGTTGGGTTAACACGATACCCCGCAGTCTCCCACGTTTTCAGCCAACCCAGAATAAATTTAAAGCTCCCTTGTATAGCATCTGCATCAGAAAGGTATCAAAGGCACAAGCAAGAAGTGACTAGGTTAATAAGCAGAAGTAATGGTGAATGAGGATGAAGAGAGTCACAAGGCAAATAATTAGTAAGTGTGGGTGGGGGGTGGTTTTATTTACTGAAAATAAGATCTTCCAATTCTGCTCCAGTGAAGGTAAAGAATGATTTTTGTTTAAAATAAAACTTACTGGATTATTTTAAATCACCTGAAGGAAACACTCTCAAAATAATCTGATGCTAACTGCAAAACTCTTCTGGCCTCTCCAAACTCACCTGAGTCTGATGAGTAGAAGCCACAAGTATTAGAGACTAACGTCTCCAGGACTTAAAAGAAAGGTTTCTTTACAGAATGTACACAGCCAGCAATGCTCATTTGTGCAGTTTGACTCAGATTACAGTAACTTGCACAGTTCAGTTGGTTTCACGCATACCAAAGGAGCCTGATCAAATTGGAGTTTCTTTCCTGTCTTTGCTTGGTGATGGCTTCACTTGCTGCTCCTTGTTTGCTTTTGGCTGCTCTTTGGCTGCTTTTGTTTCCAGGACACTGTCTCTCTGCTGCTGTTCAGAAACAACCCCACGTTTTTCTGGGTCCTCTTCCTCCTGCACCTGCTGCTCTGACTTGGCTCGCTGCAGTAGCCGGAGCTGCACCCGCAGTTCTATGATGGCCTCTCGCTCCTCGTGAATCGCCTGGTTCAGGTGATTGTTCTTTATCTTTAAGCAAGGAAAACAAATGTCAGGGCTCCTTCTGGCAGAGGCGGGCTACAGCTAAGGGGGCATGTAGCACTGCACTAGGGAGCTATGCTCTTATGGCAACGTGGACTTGCACACAACAGAGTACATGGGTGTTTGTTATGCCCAGCGACAACTGATGCCAAACTACGAGTCTGCATATGTGCAAGTACCTCTGCACAGACTAAATCCAGTAACCAGAAGGGGAAGAGTGCCAATGAATGCCAAGACTCCAGTCTTACCTCTAGTTCCTCGTTCTGTCTCTGCAAATCTTCCAAGATGACCTGCAATTCTTCCTCATCCTCACTCTCACTTTCACTCTCAGAAGAGTACTCCTCGGTTTCACTTCGGCCATGCTGCTGGCGACTGAAAGATCAATGACAAACTGATTCAAACACCTCCTCAAGGCTGCCAGAACTGTAGCAGCGTAAAAGGGTTAACCTGGATCCACTGAATAATCTGCAACGGTTTTGAAAACCAAGTCAGAATTTCCTTTCAAAGCTTAATTTAATAATGCAGTGATGTCCAGAGGGGATTGTTTTTTTTAAGAGCGCAGGATCTGTTTCCTTTAGATGCTAACTCCACTGTTACACTAACAGAAAATATCCTGAAAGGCCCAAAGCTGCTGAGATTGCAGTAAAAAGAGGCGTCTTTCAAATGTGATGTTCACAGGCTGAGCTTTTAGGTGTGGTTGAGAGTATCATTTCAGAAGAGCACATGTGGGGCAGGAGCTCTGATGCGGGCAGTTCCCCTCTTACCTTTGTATTTCAGCTATTTCGGCTCGAAGGCGATCTATTTCTTCCTTCTCCGAGGCAATCTGTCTCCGCAGGAACTGCTCCATGGCCAGCAGTTCTTCCTGTTCTGTTAAAATCTCATTCTCCTGTAATGATCAATTAGTTCACTTCAGACCTTGACCTTATTTTCTGCAGGAACGTCTGGTAAGCAATGGTGCTGTTCTCTGACAGACTTTCAGCAGGAGTGCTCTGAACTCTGACTCATCAAGACCTCAAAGCAAATGCAAGTTGAAAACCAGCCATTTCTGTTCTGAATCCTCACGATGATTGCTGCACTGAATAGCCGTGGAGATGACGCGCCAAGTTCTGGCATGTTTGGCTGCCACTTCCCTTAAATCACAGGGGAAAATTCTGGCTAACCAGTAAAATAACTAGAAAACCTGAATTACAAAATATATGTCTGAAGGTGAATCTAAGGAGGCAACTACAGCGGAGAGAAGATCAAAGCTATTCAGGGAAGCAAAGGAAAGCAAAAAAAGCCAGGGTAGTTGCTTTACTTCCTTTGATCAGCAGGGAAGTAGTTAAGGGTATTAAAACAGGTCAGATTTATAAGGGCTCTCTAAGTACTTCAACAACAGAGGCTACCTTTGGTGGTGGTGGCTGCTTCTGCACAGTGTCTCCTTTCTGCTGTTAACAGGTCTCCTCAGCTTTGGGTTCACTCCTGTGGTCACCATTCCTTCCCTACTTTACTTACCATTAAAACAAGCCTTGTCTTTTAATAGAGAGACCCCTTTAAGCCTTCCATGTCCAATCACAAAGGAATGAAAGGGCGTTTAGTATTTTTGAGAGAAGATGGAGCAAGAAAATACCAGCAAACAAGCAGGTAAGTGCTGACCTGTGCAAGCAGAATATTTATCACTTCCTCGTTCTCATTCATTTCTTCTTTGGAGACATCCTCCTTTGAAAGGCTGGCAATTTCTTGTGCAATCTTTGTCTCACACTCCTGCCAGAGAAAGAGAACAACTTTTCAAAGGACAGCTTCCCCAGCCACTTTACTGTAAAAATAGATTTTCTGGAACCTATTATTTACTTTCCAAATACAGAATCACATCGTGGTTGTCTTGAAAGTGTTCAGCAAGGGACATATGACAGTTTAAAAAAGCATGCTTGAAGTTTGTTAACCTTGAGCTTTCCAGTAGTTCCTCTTGCTACTCCAGGACACATTGTGTCAAGCATATAATGAATCCATGCTCTCTGTCAAACACTAGGTTTTTAATCATGCAATGTGTTGGTTTTTTTGTCAACAGCTGTGCAGGAAGGTGGAGATGTTGCTGCCCCTAGGGAGAGCCAGCTAACCAGAAAATGCAATTGCCCATCAGCCACGTAAAGTGAAGATGTAAAATCTGCAGCAAACGGATTGAAACGTGGTCTGATCTAACTGTCACAAATTAGCAATCCACGATTTAGATGCTTGGCCAATAAACAGAAGTTACCCACCTGTCTCTTAGCTTCTCTTAGTTTTCTTTTCAGAGCTGTTAAAATCCTTTGCACCTCCCAGAGTCTCTCTTCTTTGGATAAGTCTTTTATCCCTGCCTGCAAGTCTCTGTGTAAACAGTTCAGTAGGAACTCCTAGAAATATTGCAAATAAATCAGTGTCTTCGATATATCCTAGCACAGCAGGCTAAAATGAAACAATCTTTCTGGCTTCATGGCAACAGGCTTGGGATTCTGGTTTTCAAAGCTCAGTATGTCAGCTAACAAGAGTTAACATACATGATCTAGAGCTAGTTGAAGAGCAGTATTAAAGAAATCAAACTCTTTTTAACATGTCCTCCTGACCTTTAGAGGAAAGGACCTTAAGATCATCTAGTTGCAGGAGCAGGGATGCCTTACACTAGACCATGTCCCCCAAGGCTCTGTCCAACCTGGCCTTGAACATTGCCAGGGATGGAGCATTCACAACTTCCTTGGGCAACCCATTCCAGTGCCTCACCACCCTAACAACAGGAAAGAATTTCTTTCTTATATCCAATCTAAACTTCCCCTGTTTAAGTTTCAACCCATTACCCCTTGTCCTATCACTACAGTCCCTAATGAAGAGTCCATCCCCAGCATCCTTACTGGCCCCCTTCAGATACTGGAAGGCTGCTATGAGGTCTCCACACAGCCTTCTCTTCTCCAGGCTGAACAGCCCCAACTTTCTCAGCCTGTCTTCATACAGGAGGTGCTCGAGGCCCCTGATAATCCCCCTGGCCCTTTCTCCCACTATAAAAGTATTGAACTACATAGCCCTGTCTTTCGTGGGTTGCTCTGCTATATAATCATCACAAGGCCGTAACACCTTTCCACCCATAAATGGGGAACAGCATCACTAATTTCTTTTCAGTGGTTTCCACTTACAAGACAAGTGTGATAGAACTACAGTGTCTGTTACAAGCTTATAAGGATTTACTACTGAATGTATAAAAGCCAGGGCAAAGATAAAAACACTAAAGTAATTTCCAACCTGTCGCCTGATTTCTTCTTTGATGCTTTCTTGTGTTTCTGGAAGTGCTGGCATTGTTGCCATATTTGACCAGCGAAGAGGTTTCGTCACCTGCTTCAGGGTAACATTCCCAAAGAACTCTTGAACGTGTGTAAAAAATACATACAGGACACGGTTGCTGATCTGCAGAGAAAGGACATACAAAACAGTGGTTAAGATGACTTACTCACATCATCTTTATCTGTGAAGCACAGTCTCTTCCTCCAGAAATAGCCTTTAGAATGCCTTTCTGTGACTCGTAGTCATACTAGTTTGTCCTAAGAGATTAAAATCTGGATTAAAAATGATACTTTAGACAACCCAGTGCTGTCCCCAAGGAATCTGTGTCTCTTACCTATGTATCTGAGGCAGTTTCATGCTAAACTCAGACACATCTTAACCTACTGCAATTATTTCCATCACTGGTAGATACAGAGATGTATTACTTTCCTTTTACTAGTGTAAAGGTGGTTAGTGACAACAATGGGTAACAGGCAATACAAACCATACCACACCATGGCTTTCTCTTACCCAACATGTAAGCAATTTCTACAACGCCTCTCTCAGATGATTTACTATAATAGAAAAAGGAGTCTGAAAGGGCCTGTTGCTGCTGTTCTTGTTTTAACATGAGACAGAAACAAGTATTTATTTTGATACTGTATCTTTCATTAAACTGCGAACATTTATCCTGTCACTACCTGCATTTTAATTGCTAAAAACTACTTAACAAAAACATGACTGGGCCTGCACTGCTTTGCATTAATTGTTACTTCTTTTCTTAGCTAGGAAGTGTCTGGCATAGCAAAAGAGCCAAGAATAATAGTGCCCAGCCCTTTTGCTACTGGGCTTCCTCCTAGGCTCTTAATTATAAAGCCAAGCTCTTCTGAAGTGTGGGTTTTCTTCTAGAAGACACACACCCAATAATGCCATGTTTCCATTATGCAAGGACTAATTGTGAACTGTATTTAAATTAAACATTTCCAAGATGTTAAGGAATTAATCAATCCAGAATCCACAAACTCTTACTGGAAAACTAAGTCAGTTGTTTTTCCCTGACTGCAGACAGGGAAATGGCTTTGGTATTCTGTCTTGCACCAAAGCCATTAGACAAAAGTCATTACTGCACCAGGAAGATCTGTTTTCAGGACAGGATTCATTGGCTTGATACTAAAATTAAGCAACAGTATAGTCTTCGCTAAATTAATGCTGAATCAAAAGCCCACAGAAATTGTGTATCTGCATGAATTGTTGGACAAATTCAACATTAAATGACTTCGGTTCGCAACAGAATTAAAACCCTGACAGGAGTCTTTGTAATACTGTCATAATAAGCCAGGTGTCAGACCCATAGCATGCAAGCTCACATTCAGAAAGTCTTTTGTTCTTCCCTTCCCAGCAGATTTGCTTCCCAGTATATAAAGAGAAGCTGTAATTTAGCTTAACTGTTACCAGACAATACCTCTTTCCCACCTGCAAAAGAATTCCTACAAAGAAGTCTTTCCTGGGCTGAAGTTCTGCTCTGGCACTTGCTGCGTGGCACACGTACCTGGACAGTAGGGCTGAGCACTATAGAAATATTCTGGATGTTCATTTTTGTTTCCAGTTCCTTTGCAATAACGTGGTCCATGTGCACAATCAGCCAAGAAATCAGGAGATGGTTACACTCTGGCAACTCTTTCAGCAGCCTCTGGCACTCCTGAACTTTCTCAGCTTCTGTGCTCTTCCCACAAGCATCTTCAAAGCGGGGCATTAGCTCTTTGGTAAGCAAGTTTTCAGGCAGTTCTCGTAGGTACTGTTTCAGCAAGCTGGCTACTGTATTGGGCTCATATTCTTCCAGGTTGGGAGATTCTTCTCGATCATAGGCTGCTTTTAGCTCATCAACTTTTGATTTTATTCCTTAAAATATTTAGATCAAGAATTAAGAGAAATCTTCAACTGTAAATGTATAATAATTACAGTTACACATTTTTTCTTTGAGAGGCACTTATTTCACCTCCCCTTACAATTTAAACTACTTGAGGAACACCTTTTAAAAGTTACCCATGTGTAACAAAATTAAGATCATGACTCAAAATTACATAGATTGTTGTTTCTAAAAGCACCAACAGGGTGAGCAAGGGCACGGGAACACAAGATCAGTTGTGTATTTTCAATCAGCATCTTTCTGGCTGTTCAATTATAGAGTCCTAAGCCAAGAAGCAAATACGTTATCAACTCAAGTTCTTAGCTATATCAACTACCTATAATAGTTTTCCTCTCCCAAACAAGTTCTACCTATAACAGCTTTCCTCTTCCAAAACACACCCCACACTTTTTAGTTTCCAGGTTTCCAGCTGGCCCTCTGCAGTGGAGGAATCTCACACAGGATTTTTGACTTGAGGCACTGCATGAATGAAAGCGTGTTCACAAAGTTACTCAACACAGCCAGAGTTTTCTGTGAGGTGTTCTTGTAACTCGGTGACATTCCAATCTTCCCAAACTTGGGGAAATTTCATTCTTAAAGCTCAAACACCCATCTGAGTTGCGCCAACTTGGCTCATACACAACCAGCAAAGCTGGGTGTGCTGAGCCCATGGTAAATGCCAGGTAAAATATACTCAGTTTCATGTCCAAGTTAGGTATCACAACAGCTGGTAGGTTGTTGAGCCACTGGAATTGTCTCTCTGCACTCTCAGTTTAAGCAGTCTGACACACACAAGAGGGTGCTATTGCACAGGGGAACACTAGATGGTACAAACATCAAAAATGATTTATGGAAAACACACCTTTTATCTGTAAAAATTCCCAACACATTGTGTCTTGAAAAAAACACAGCTGGAATGTTCCAACAGGCAAGATGAAGAAGCAGCTTAAGCTGCTGCAGTATTTATGCATGCCTACCTCATACCATGCAGATGGACAGCATGAAGACAGCTTAATGAAGCCTTTAAAACCGTTTGATTACTGCTTTTCACTGCTTTTCCTCAAATTCCTTTTCTCACTCGTTCTTGCTCCCTTAAACATACCCACAGAGGTACTTACACAAGTTACTTTGCAGATGCAGTTCACAAACAAAGGGACCGTTCTCTGTAATGTGACTAAACCTGATGTTCCATTTATGTAAGCTGATGTTACACAACCACCATGGTTAATTAGCCTGCTGCTGCTAAGCTTAATTAGGGGAACTTGGATTTTGTGCTCATTAGTGTATTTGCTCAAAGAAAATAATTTTTTAAGGGGGAGGGGGGAATCATACAATGGAAGTAACTGGGAAAAGCAATTTAGTGGGAAGCTTAAGTAATAAAGTGGTTGTATCTCATCTTTGCTTTTGCAATCAACTAGCACTGCATTTCTAATGCAGAAGTAAAAAAACAGAAGCTGGCCATACTAACACATTTTATTCATCATTGGCACCCTACCACAGAAGGCAAAAGCAAGTGGTTTCTTATTGCCAGTAAGCAGTACCGCCACTTCAGCAATTTTTCTGGTACTTTGGACTTATGAGTTACTCAACTTTAACTGCCTGATAACCTTTTGGATAATTAAAATTAATGCAGCTATTAACAGTCCCTAGGTGGTGGAAATGTTAAAATAGTAAGAAAATAGCAAGTAAAGACCTTAGGAACCTGCATGTCAGTGTGCCCAGAGTACCTGAAACTCTGTAGATGCCTTCGCATTTCATGCCATACTTCTCTACGTAATCTATACATTCACGGAAAACTGCTGGCAGGCGGACACCATCATACATCATGGTCCTGTCTACTGCATCAGACAAAGGAATGCCAAACACGGGTCTATGACTTGGAACATCCACTTGAGGTATCTCTGTCTCCTGAATTGGCTTTTTCTTTTTCTTCTTCTCTTTCCACTGTTTTACAACATCTGCTGCAGTTAAGTCTTTTGACTTCTTCTCTTTATGTTTGTCTTCCTTATGTTTGTCTTCCTTGTGTTTTTCATCTTTGGGTTTCTCTTTTATTTTAAAATCCTTTTCCTTTTTTTTGGAAAAGCTGGGTTTCTTGAAGACATGTATTCCCTTGGACCTCTTCAACTTTGAAGGGCTTTCAGCTTCATCACCAGAACTGTCCTCTTGAAATGCAGCATAACCTTCCGCTATTGGGCAAAGAAGGAGAAGGCAAGAGGAAAGCTGTAAGTCTGTTTAGATAGCATATTGTAAGAGGGAGAGAACAGGCAGTAGTATGTAAGGAGAAATGAAAAGAAACATGAGTGAAGAAAATAGCACCGGCTTGACTTTGTGGAAGGTTTTCTTTAGCCTTTACACAATTAAGTGGACAAGGACTAAATCAAGGTTGCATAATCACATCAAAGATAATCCATAGCTCCTGACCAATCTAAACAATTAATACTTTATATACTTACTCATAATGGCAATGTCCATGTTACGGGTTGGTTTCCCCTCTAATAGTCAAGGAAATGCAAAATAAAAACAACTGTCTGGCAACTTCTCTATGTTCCTGTAATCAACAGCGTAAGAGTTGCTGTTAAGGATCATCTACTGCATACACATAAGCCTAACAAGCTTCCGTTAAGAAGAAACTAAACTTCAGCCACTTAACTCCCCAATCCCTCCCCAGAACATTATGACTGTTAAGTATGAAGTTAACAGTTTCAGCCTCAAATAAAATACAAAAAAGAGAAAAAGGCCCAAGCACACTTACTTTTCCACTTGACAAATAAAACAATTCCAGTAACATTAGCACAATACCTGACCGTGAAGGTATCTGCCTTAAAAAGAACTTCAAACAAGTCAATGGGTGGAGTGCACCGTTTGAGCAGCAGAACACCAAGTGCCGTCTAAAACGTGCACCAGGGCTTTTACTAGCTACGCCTCTGCAGCAAGCCCTGCCTGTCCTCCAGGCAACAACAAGCAAATCTTCAAACATGGACTACAAAAAACAAACCCCACCAACAAAAACCCAACCCATAACCAAACCAACAACACACAAACCAAGGCAACTTCCAAGTCAATTAACTGATTTTACACACACATGTAAGAAAAGCCAGAAACCTGGTCAACAAAGACAACAGTTTACAGGCCCTTTGCACCAGCCAGGTCCCCCAAGGCAGAGGGCAGCCAGCTCTTGCTTCAGTGTGAAGCCCCCATTATACAGATCCTTTGAGGCTCTTCCACTACCCACAGGCAGCAGCTCTGCCCAAGTGAGGAAGCACACTGACAGCCAAGTGCTCTTCCTGCATAGTTTTGGGTGGTGGAAAATTACCCCCTTAGATTATGAGAGAACGCATCACACAAGAGATTATAGGCTGTAATTCTTACAGGTAAAAGATCTTATGCAAAAGAACCAGGAAACATTCAGTCTTTTGTTCTTCCAATTCTAAATTATACCAAGCTGCAGAGTTGCTCAGCATTAATTCAGCACGTCCAAGGAGCTGTCTGTATTTTGAAGCCTCCCTGGCTGCTCTGTAGCAGGCAGCTTTTAACAGTCAAATAAATACAAGAAATGTATTAAAGCATGCCATAAAATAATTACAACTGCCGGAGCAGCTCGGTCTGGACTCTTCCCTAGGGCTACCAAACGCACACTTTCATACAACACAGAGAAAGACTGTAGGTAGCACTGTTCCTGTCAGTGAATTTTTATTATAAAGTGCAGATGTTATCTGGACACAACCAGCAGCCAGGTCTCATCCTCCCAGTTTACCAGCTATACCATCATCATCCACTCTATAAACTAAACCCAGAAATGGCTAAGGAAACTTGCAGTGCACAAAGGAAGGATTCACATCTCACTCTGATACAAGAAGGAACTGCTGATGCACCAGCTATGGGACAAAGGAAGAGCACACATCACCACTGTGTTTTGTCAGAATGAGATGGGGCTGGCACCAAGCTTCAAGATTGGGTTCACAGATGTTAAATTCCAAACAGAAAGCCAGATCCCCACCAGACATTGCCCAGAACAACCTGCCCTCAACCTTTTCTGATCACAGTCAAACAGCATAGGGTCACCCCCCAGCATGTCACCTGGGTCAGCACAGGGGACCCAAACTTGGAAGTCAGTGTCCCCAACACAACACCTGCCTTAGTGTCTCAACACTCCATGTTGCAACACAGACCTTGGGTGCTTTCCTAGATCCGTGGTAACATAACACCAGCAACTGCACATTACTGAAACTGGTATTTCTTGACTTCATGAGAAGACAGGAAGGAGCAAGTTAAATACAAAACAGTCTATTCTAATTTGTCTCAGTAATGCTTAGGGATACATACTCCTTAGGTTCACAGAGAATCTCAATCTCCCACTCATACCAAGAGCGGGTTTGTATGTCTCTCAGAGTAGCCCAGTTTTCATTACCATACTTCTGCTAATAAAGTTAATGTATCCCTTCCACCAGTGATACAATATATTGAAATATAAACAACTTACATTTATACAGGAGGAATTACCAAAAGCAGTAGACAAACCAGGTAATTCTAACATTGGAAAGAAGTATTACCTGCTGTTAGTAAACTGGTATTTCTGCTCACTGTTTCCTCAAAACTTCCAGTACTTCTGCATTTTCCCTTCACTCTAGTGCATGTTAATGACATTTTCCTTGACCTGTGTGAGACCAGTACTAATAAATACTCCAATTTTACCAGCATAACAAGTGAACTATCTGCCAATTCCTTGCTCAGACTTTGTTAGACCTTCCACAAGCATACCTTCACTGCAGTTATTTTAAATAGGATGCTCCGAGTACAGCCCTTATCTTACTGAAAATAATGAAAACCTCTTTTAAAAACAGTAATACTAAAATATTCCAGTGTTACTCTGGAAAAAATTAACTTACTGCGTGACAAAGCTTTTAAGCCTGTGAGGCCACTGTTTCTATCAGTCTGTGTACTCCGGAATGCTTCTCCTGCACTCTTACGATGAAGCTATAATTTCATGCTATGTAGTATTTATTGCTAACACAAAGGGCTGCATTATATAGAACTGCCCCTTATCAAACCTACCACAAGATACATTTTGTGCATCAGGTCTCTGGTGAGTTTTTAAGCTATTTATACCTCTACACCTCATTTTGGCTCCCTGGGGAAATTTGCATGCATCAGTAATTAATTCACTGAAAGGACACATGGATCACTTTTATATATGGAAGAATCAGTTGGTCAAATATGACTACAGGGACCAAAGTGCAACGCTAGCATTAGTTATCTAACTTCAATTCGTCACAGGGACTGCCATCAGCATATAACATTTCTAAAGAAAACGGTAAGACATACATGGATACATAATCAGCTTGGGTAGATGGCTTTTATTTCCTCTCCTCACCCACAAGATGTATTGTTGTTAATAACAGAAACTTCAAACTTACAGACACTACCAGCACTTAGTATCCAACTTTCAATTAGATCAGTTTTGTTTTACATTCAACTCACTAATGTGAGCACAGCACTCCCCCAAAATTATGCATTCCAATTACTGCTCAGTGCTATGCAATGAGAGTAAATGAAGCTGAAATATGAAATTTGCCTTACCTAATTTTGATTCAAAATAATTACTGGCACTGAAAAGCAGACTTTTAAACTGTTTGCAAATGGTACTTTGCTAAATACACATTGGTGTATAGATACACATCGTACTTTGTCAGTAGAACAGAATGTGGCAACAAAAAGATAAACCTTGATATGAAGAGCCTCTAATGTTTATCACGGGTAGGAAACTGTAGTGACTTCCTATTCTGTAGATCTGGGAACTGTATTCAGAGCTTCCCCGCACACCAGATCAGTAAAAATAACATTCTGTTTGCAATAGCAGCAACGTGGTTGTTTCGTAGGATGACAATGGCCTCCTTACATTTGTAACAGACCTCTCCCCATACACATGAAGTATCTCCATTAGCACTCTGCACGGAAGTGAAGGATCATAAGAACAGAGACAACTTCACATGCCACTCCTCTATGTGAAAGAGCTGGGAATGCTATTAGAGCTTTTGCATGGTTGCTGGATGTCCAAATTCCTAAGAAGAAACTATTTTGGAGAAAAATCCCTTAAGATGACAGAAGAGAGAATAGGCTGATATCTGGTACCTGACAGTCACAGATCACTAGAACCTCAACTCAGCAACTCAGAGGAAGGAGATAAGGGTTAACACCCAATCTGGACTGAAGATTGTTTGGAGCAGGTCCTCAAGTTAACAATAGGAATATTTCAGCCCTCATCTACCTCCCGAAAGAACACCCCTGCCCAACGCATTTGTGATTTGGTCTTCAAAATATTCCCTGAAAACATCAAAGAGTTCATGTCAATGATATTAATGTCCTTTCATAAAACAGTTTTGTTTACAGTTCAACCAATTCTCCATTTCCACCAAGAATTCTGTAAAGAAAATGAAAATGATTCTACACAAAAAATCCAGCTGCATATTGAACCCATGCTGTCCAACGGCACCTCAGAAGCAAAACAAATAAGCAGAGTAAGATCTACTACATACAGATTCTTTATCTACAGAGATTCTAATGGGTAGAATAGCTTTTTCCTTAAGAACATCTTAGAATCTTTTTCCTTTCGCAAGGAACTCTAATGTTATGACTTTATCAACACACAACTACTGACAGGTGCTTAAACATTCAATCTTAAAAGTCAACTATGCTGGTCAGTGTCTCACAGAAACCATTACTGCTGAAGAAAGGTCTATTTTTGCTCTCCTGCTGCCACAGTACAAGTCTTGCATGGAAAGTTCCCTTTGAGTCAGAGAACACATCTGAGATGAAACTATCCTGCTGAAAATAAAATGCATTCTAATCCCTAATACATTCCCTAATCTAACTCGCTCTCTAGCTAACCAACACTCAGTCTGTCAGAGGAGTGGAGAATAGAGATCAGTGGCTGAAACACTTTTCCAGGAGCCGACATTCCACATCAAAACCAGTATTCCATTTTCTATTATCTCCAAAACATTTCTGAAGTTTACATTTACAGTATTATCAAAATATCCCAAAAACTGAAAAGGTGGAAGAAACCGAAGAATCGGAAGTGTGGAAGGAATAACAAAAGGCAAAGCTGGAAGGGGGACTCTTAAAAAAATCAAGCATGTTAAGCAACTGTAAAGAACACCTGTCATTTATGTAAGTAAAATGTCTGTTCAAGGTATATTTACAATAATGCCTATTTTTGGACTGTACAAGATGTACTGAAAGCTTTATATGTAACTTACTCTTACACCTGACTGGCAATTATATGACACACTTACATTAGGGCTAAGAAATGCGGAATGTTTTTTACATTACAGATTGCAGGAGATAATTTGATTCTTCCTCCATATTGCCTTTTTGTGTTTTCGAGGATTTTTCCTACCTTTAAAGCTTAAGTAACAAAAATTTCTTTACATCAGCTATAAAATGTGTTGTGATGTCTTGTGGAAAAAAGCAGCTACAGTGCTAATGTGCACAGACCTGCATGTATTTGCTGAAGAAGCGTTTTTCCTCTTTAGCCTGCAGTTACACTGTCACCAAGAGACAACCACAAAGAAACCCACACTATATATAATGCTGACCTCTAGCAATTCCAAATTTAGAGGTGTCTAATGCGGGGTTAGAACAGAAAACTGATTTGCAAAGAGTAAAAAAAAACTCAACTACTAACAGCCTGAATTTAGACCTAATCAATAATACTGAATTTTCATCACCATTCCGATAATCTGTATTAGGTTAATGTTGTTAGAGGAAAACCCTGAGAAATCACTTTAAACCTGCAGGAATTTATACCATTTGGTTTAACTTGAGGATAATATGTTTTTGAGTTACAGCAGTATTTAGGCACACAGTCTTTAGATAGAGTAACAACAGTCCTCCTAACTGTGGTAGAAACAATTCCTGCATTCCAGGAAACTAGTTTGATTAAAAGCAGTGCAGTGGCAGCAATTCTTAAGGAGTAATTATTTAAATAAGTGCATGCATATTACAGACAGTCACCAGATTCATTCTAACAGAATAGTGTGTGCTGTCTCATTGGTTTTGATCTTCCAAACTTCACATGTAAGCAGTAGCAAGGTACACTGGCAGCCAGAACTTCCAGGCATCAGAGACAGAAGCATGGTAGAAGAGGAACATTATTTTGAAGTTTTGCTAAAACAAATGTCAGTTAAAAAAAGCCCCAGCATGTGGGCTGTGATATTTAGGTTTCAGAGACTTGGACAGGAAGGATCTTTCTGCTACTGAGAGTGCTCACTCCCAAATTAGTATTTCCAAGTGCTTTGTTCTCTCAGAACATGTAGAGGAACTCTTACAGAATAGAAACTATTTCATGTTTGCAAAATTTTCTGCACAAAGCTAAAGGTGCAGAAGTTAAGATTTCCCTTGTGTTGTTTTGCTGGAGGGGTACACTTTCTAAATGAAAACTTCCATTCTGGACAGGGATACACTGACAAAGAATGGATTCTACAGTCAAAGCTTTACTTTCCTCTAACCTTTACTCTGTTGGTTCTAGCAAATTCAGATCTCAATGTTGGCTTGCACATTTTTGAACTCTGCAATACCACTTTGGCACTGCTGGTGGAAACTGCATGATCAGATTAAAATGAGAAGCTAGAGGAAAAAAAAGGACACAGACCTTACTGCTTCTCAAACGATGCAGTGTGCACAAGACAATTTGAGGTGGTAACAACAGCAAACTGAATACGTGAGACATAAGGGAAAACGGTTAAAGTTGTTGAAACTGACTCTTCTGAATTTAAAAAGTACAAAATTCAGGTCAAACTTGGTTTTATCTTAGCCCCTCAGCTGCAATTTTAAAAAACATCTATTTAGAAATACACTTGTAAACTTCCACTTAGAATGTGAACAGATAATGAGATTAGAAGAAGCACATGCCAGGCATTTACCAATGCATTGCTAAAGGTTCTGGATAAACAAGTTTATTAGTAATTCTGGGCACATGTTTGGCACCTGTACTTGTGCAGCAAAAAACAAATCTGGTTTTTGGTTAAGGTGTAGGCTTCTTTGGAAGAGAAACAGGTATTGCACAAAGCCTGTTTGTACAAGTTAGCTTCCTTCACACCTAAACAAGTCTAAAAAAAAGCACTGGAAATACTAAGCAATTTTGAGAAAGAAAGAGAGAAAAAGAAATTATAAGCATGAAATAAGAGCAGTTTCCTACTCACTTCTTTTTTCTTTCTTCTTAAATTTTCCTTTCTTCTTCCCATACTCTTTTTCATCATCAGATACTACATCTGGAGGCTCATGCAAGCTGTCATGAGGTGGTGAAGGCTCACCAGTGCGGTACAATCCAGGGAATTTTGTAGGACTGATTTCTTCAGAGCTGGGAGTACGAGCAAGACCTCCACTGTGCTCTACCCGACGGTGTTCACTGGGGCTGCTAGTGGGAGGCAGGAAGCACTCAGTCATTCTGATTCCCTGATATCCAAGTGAGATCTTCTGCTACCTGTCCATCACACCTGCAGAAGGGAAAACAAAAAGAAACCCCACACAATTTTAAGCAATGGGTTTCAGACCACCTACTTTAGAGCTCTATCATGAAAACACAAACAGCAATGCCTCCTGCAATGAATGGTCCAACTTCTGTCAAGACACAGTAATATAATATCAGGTCCTAAGCTCAGGGTTTGCTGAATCTGTCCATTAACACCTAAGCCACATTAACATAATGTGAGCTGCTATTTTATTCATTTATACTTTATAATATGTAAAACATTATATATTAAGTAGGAGAATATTTTAACATTTGAAATAATTCTTACAAAATTCATAGGCAGCTTGTGTACTGATTGGTTAATATTTACTATAAAACAGCTAACTTTAAACATTTGATACAAAATACATTTGTCTGGAAGCTCAGACTGTTTGTGAGCACTGCACTTCAGGCAAAGATCATTTTCATCTTTCCCAAACATATTTTATAGATGCAAATAAGAACTTGCCTAGCCTGTTGCAATAAAGGGGGGGGGGGGGAGTTAAAGCAAATCCATCTTCTAATTATGCTAATGTAAATTAAAGAAGGTAAAAAAAGCATGATTGTTTTTCTGGCCTATAAGAATTTCACATTCAAAGAGGGGGTATCAGGTCATCTGCACCCAGGTGCTGGTATGTTGCCTGCTTGAGAGTTATGACCAAATAAAAGCTAATATGAAAACTGCTGAAGAAAGCCAATACATAAATTCTCAGCAATGAAACGCATAAGCAAAAAAACTCTTCCTAGCACAGATAATTCCAGAAGTTCCTGAGAACAGATATGCTGCATGGGACATCATACCTCTGGAGTCCACCCTGCTGAACTTGACCCTTTGTGTTTAAAGGATCACCCTCAGATATGAACCATTCTTTCATGGGATGAAAGGAAAACAGAAATAGAACTAACTCCAGAGAAAGAAAAATCTATTTCCCACATCCACTGCTATAATTGGCTGACAGGTCAAGTCACACGCTAACTTCCACCTGTGCTACTGTGTTACTGCTGAGAGGAAACTGAGCTACTGGAAGACAAACAGGAGAAAAAAAGATTTTTTGTTATTTTAAAGATACATCAGTTCCACAGCCTGGCTCCCTGTGCAGCCATACGAGTGTCACAGGGAAGACTGTGGACACTTTGGGAAAGGTGCCCTGCACTTCAGACCTAAAGTGATCATGGTGGCTGTGTAGTCATGGCCTCAAACCTTCCTTCTCAAAAAATCAAATCACAATACTCAGAATTAAAACATGGTATAAGATTATGCACGTAAGCCTTAGTAAACCTATGAGTTTTTTAGTTGTGACAAGTGTATCTAGATATAATACCTGCGGTTTCTGCACTAGCCGTTGTACTCTGCAGTCACCTCTGGTACACCTGCTATTTAATGCTGATGTACAGACTACAGTCAAGAAGAAAGCAGTCAACCCTTTGCTAAGTGAGGCAAACAGTCATGGATACCCAGTACTTCACAAAATCTCATTCAGAGATATAAATGACACAGTTCCTGGCTAAGCAGAAACTCCTGATACATCATACAGACACACTATAACTTCTTATACAAAAGCAGAAAGCCTTTTTAAAAGAGAACAGCATTAATACAAGGCACAGCCAGTTTCTTTGTATTTTTTACTTGTCATGCTTGTTGGATTTTGTTACATTTTTAATTGTTATCAAATACTTCACTGCTAATTCAATACTGTGTTTAAACGAGTAAATGGTGTGCTCAAACAAGGTATTTTAGGAGAAATGTCCAGGTATCTAAAGCTTCAGACTCACAGATATCAAAACAGGATAAAACTTTCAATAACACAAGCATTTTCAATATTACCAATGACACAGACTGGCAATACTGTTGCATTCAACTGAGTACCAGAATGATCTGTAAAATTCCTGCAGAGCACCTCTTTGCATTTCATCCACCCACCCCAAAAAAGCAGAACTCAAACCACCCCACCCAAAGCTGCTGAACAGACAGACTAAACTTTTAACTGTTACCCATGGGATGAAATTACAAATACTACACTTAATGAAGTGAATAGGATGTACCACACCTACAAATCAGTCCACGTCTACAGTGGGCAAGACAGGCAAATGCACAGAGGGAAAGAACAATGCCATTGCCAAGGCACATAAACCCCACCATGGAAAATAAGGGTGCACATGCTTTGCCTCTGGAACTAAGCCAAGCTCCTGGGATGAAGGCAGCCTTAGCCCACACGTTCCACAACACTCTTCAGCAGTATTACTCAACTCCTGGCTTCTTATTTATGGATTGGTAGAATACAGAAAAGCATAATATGCACTTGTGTTTTGCCACGTTAACAATTATAGATGTGCCCAGCTAAGTGGGTTTTGGGGAGGGTTGTATTTGTTTCTTTGGTTGATTGGGCTTTTTTAGAACCAACCTCTCATCCTTCAGTTCTCTGTATGTAGAACACAGTGAAAACTGTATGAAAGAAAGAACCTCACTACAGGTGATCACTCACAGAGGCTTATGGAAATTACTCAGATTAGAATATGAATAGGGCACAGTAACACACAGAATTACGATGAGAAACAAAATATTCATGAGTTCTTTTAATATGGTTCATTCTTTACTTTGCCTAAAGCAGAGACACTGACTAAAAATAATTGTGCATATTTGTAAATGCAAACAAAATAAGACTGCACTTAGGTTTCATATTTGTTATTTTACAACTTAACAAAGCATTGCTTTTCTATATGATTTCCTAGTCCTTTAAGTGAGGGAGAAATTCCATGGCATTCAAATTGATATATCAGACCTATCAGCAGAACCAGAGCCTTTAGAACTAATGTACTATTTCCACACAAAACTGCATCCTTCCTCTAGCTTTCACAGCAAAAAATGGTGAGAATGAAAAAAATCACGGATCCTCTCAGCATTCTGAAAAGGAACATTTCTAACAGGCTGATTCTTCTGCCAACTTCTCCCTCTCAGACTTGACCCTTTGTTCCAAACCTGTTAGTGAGTCAGTCCTGCTCTCTGCAGCACGCTCCTTGCTTCAAATTGCTTTTCTTCACCTATGCAGTTCTTATCTGCCAGATTTAATAGCTCACTAACAGCTATGCCCCATGTGGGTAAGGTCATATTACTCCTCCCATTACCACACACCCCCAATTCCAGTGGTTTGCTTCCCCCAGACCCCCTTGTGAGATGATTCAGTTTACTAGCTGCTCCAACAGACTTCTGCTGCTTAGCTGGCTTGTGGAAGAGCTCAGCAATCACCCAAGAGTGAAAAAAGAGGGGTGGCAGAACATGATGACAGGGGTGCAACCTTCTCTGGGCAGCTTTGTTTTGTGATACTGCATGTACAGCTTAATCCCCCCAGATTTTACTTTCACTCAGACCTAACTAACTACTCTTCACAGTATTCCAAAAATGCAGTTTCTTGAACCATCTTTCTGCTCAACATGAATTCAAACCTTCAGAATAACTGAGTGTCAAAAATAAACAGCCTTCACTGAACATGTGAGGAATTGTGACATTTCCTCTACCCCCCAAGGAAAGACTAAATTAAAGGAGAATTTAAACATGGAAAGCAGAAGGTATGTCCTTAACACAAACTCCCAGACATCATACCACCACCACAGAATGATAGAATGGTTTGGGTTGGAAAGGACCTTAAAGATCATCCAGTTCCAAACACCCTGCCACAGGCAGGGACACCTTGCGCTAGACCAGGTTGCTCCAAGGCCCGTCCAACCTGGCCTTGAACACTGCCAGGGATGGGGCAGCCACAGCTGCTCTGGGCAACCTGTGCCAGCACCCCACCACCCTCATAGTGAAGAGCTTTATCATAATACCTAATTTAAGTCTACCCTCTTTTGGTTTAAAGCCATTCCCCGTTGTCCTATGTCCCCACATGAAAAGTCCCTCTCCAGCTTTCTTGTAGGCGCCCTTTAGGCACTGGAAGGCTGCTATAAGGTCTCCCCAGAGCCTTCTCTTCTTCAGGCTGAAAAACCGTAGCTCGCTCAGCCTATCTTCACAGGATTCATGCTGCAGCCCTCTGAGCATCTTCGTGGCCTTCCTCTGGACTTGACCCAGCTCAGCCATCTTTCAAGATCATACGTCAAGCACAGGAATGTGGGCTGGGGAGATGAAGATGCCTGAATGGGCAAAATAATGTGGGGGTCTTTTCTAGTTTAATTTTTGAAAATAACAACTCTCTCCTAAAATAATCAGCCTGAGCTACATATCTACTAAGTAAAAATTAATATTAAACAGCTGAGGTTTGGAAAAAACATAAAGAAGTGAAGAAAAGAGAGACATGGCAGGGAACCTTAATAGATTCCCCTTATTACAGTGTGTCATTTAATCCAGCATGAACATATTAAAAGAGAGGCACAGTCTGAAAGACCAAACTCACAGCTCTGTCATTCACACAGAAGGCTCCATTATTTCCGTTTTGCACCGAGTCTGTGACTTTGTGCCTTGGAACAAATTACAACAGCAGAAGCAAATTAGAGCAGGTGATTGCATGCACAGATGTTATTTTGCAAAGCTGTGAGGCAGAATGAGGGACACAGGGAATTTTTCTGCAACACACATTATGCAAGACCACATCTGAAATGCAGTGGGTGTCCCTACGTCATCCCATTTTGCCACAAGCAGATACACTCCAAAAATCTGGGTGTTACACCGAAAATATCACTACCAGATACCAGAACCTGCTCTACTGTCACTGCCTAAAAGCAAGAGCAAAAACACAGCAGTGCCTCATCATCATATTCAGTCCAAAAGATATGGGCTTACATGAAGAAACTGATGTTATTTGCAGAAATGAGGCACACCACTTTTGAAGAAAAAAAAAAAAACTTAAAAATTATGCTTTTAAAGAAGCATAGTTCCATTTTGGAAAGTAATGAACCATAAAAGGAAAGAATAAAAACTATCAGTGTCAAAGCACTTCAGAAACCATGAGTGGCATTCATAAAACTGCTGAGATAGTTGAAAAAGATGACTTGGAG